TTTTTTTTATTTTTGGCAGATTGGCTGGGGAAGTTGGTTTTCTTCCTGGTAATGAAAGCCTGTGGTCTAATCTCCCTGCAGAAACGACTTCAAGTGGCTGCAGTGGAGACATGGAGATGCATGTTCCTGTGATGGCCAAGTTTAAAATAGAATCTGAGAAACCATCAACAGGAAGGAAATTTGAGAAGAATGCTGCAGAAGGACAGAAGCTTCATCCAAATTCAGAAGTAAGAGAAACTGACAGATGGCAAGAAGACATGCAGAATGGGAAGGTCAGGAAGCAAAGTGCTGTGCAGTCTGGGAATGGTGGTACTGATGAAGGTGCTTCCCAAAGTTGGTTGGTCAGAAATAAGACTAACAGTTCAAATGATTCTTGTTTACAAGAAGAGAAATGTGTTTCAAATGTTATACCTCAAGATATTTTGATTAAGGCTGTGGACAGATTACAAACAGAACCAAAACCTGAGGTTGACAGAAAGCGGTTTTTGTGTCATGATTGTGGGAAGATATTCACCCTGAAACATCAACTTCAAGGCCATTTGCGGACTCATACAGGTGAAAAACCTTATTGTTGTTCTGTGTGTGGGGAGACATTTGGTTTTGGAAGTTGTTTGAGAAAGCATATGAGGATTCATACACTAGAGAAACCATATTTATGCACTGTGTGTGGTAGAAGTTTCAGCCGTGGTGACACACTCACAAAACACATGAGGGGGCATACAGGTGAGAAGCCATACCACTGTAGTGTGTGTGGCAATAATTTTGGACGACGAAGCACTCTCATTAACCACATGAGAGCACACATGGGAGAAAAACGTTATTTATGTACTGAATGTGGTTGGAGATGTGTTCAGAGTTATGACTTGACAAAACACATGAGGTGTCATTCAGGTGAGAAACATGTACGTTGTAAAGTAGGAAACAGGGGTTTAACATTTGCATAAATACAAAATTTTTACCATATCAAACCAAGAAAGTTGGCTCAAGTGGTAATGCTTCTAATTTATATGTGGGAGGCGCTGGATTCAAAATTCTGTAGGGAGACTGGCTATTCTTGATGGTTTTTTCCTTGGTTTTGATCACTCCCTCCAGAAAAATGCAGGATAGTATATCAAATGAGGCCATGATCCCTCCCTGTCATATCCTTTCCAAGTCATTATTCATGAATCATCATCTAGTGTTGCATGGTCTGAGCTATTGTCATCACTGTTGAATAGTCCGTCACTAAATAGAAAACTTCTGTCACAAGCAGTGGATAATGTTAACCTTTGTCAGCCAAGAAAGGGGATTTTAAATCTCCTGGTACCTTCAGTTTGACCATATTTAAACTCAAATATGAAAGTTTATTGTCTTCTTCCAGTGATGTGGGGCTAATGGCCATGTTGTTAACTCTAGATAATGGTATTAGTATAAAAAAATGCAGTGCTCAGTCAGTTTCACTATATGCACACACCATTGCAATACTGCTTTTAGTTTAATAACTCAGTCTTCAATATGAAATACTCTTTGTTGTTTTTGTTATAAATTCGTCATATAGG